TTCTATACTGATTTGAGGAGCAAGCGTGCAATAGAGACAGCACTTGCCACTGGACCCGCTTCGCCTTCAGACCAGGACCAGAATGATTTTGTTTCGAATAAAATAAATAAAATAAGAAAAATAATAGGGCTTCAATATTATATTATAAAAAGTTTTGGAATTTCAACAAATCCTTCTATATTATCGGCTCTCCTCGTTACTGTTTCTTTTTATTTCAGGTTTACTCAATCATTCTATATTTATCATTTAATCTTACATTGCAATTAGGTTGGAAATAAGAAGTCCCCGCCGTTTTTTTTTATCCAGAGATTTTACCGCTGCTGATTTTCATAAAGCAAATATAATATTCGAAATTGCTCTGATCTAAAAAAGATGTTGAATTCCTTTGTGAGAAGACTTTTTCCCGAATTTGAACCTAGAGAGATGCCATGCCTTTGTCGTTGCACACAGCACCCTTCATTTAGTTTATCAGTGAGATAAAAAGGTGACGCAAGGTACGCAAAGTACGATGAGTCCTGCACGGGCCAAATAAGCTTCCAAAGAGTTTCGTGGGACGGAGCGATCTGTCTTGCTCAAGGAGACTTTTCGGCAGAGTAGCCTCTAATTCCTGGTGAAATTGGACTATATGAAGGCAATGTCGACAGGACTGTTCTTGGCATTTGCAGTAGACTTTCCCAATAAGAAACGGGTGGGTATTGTTCAGGTAAAACTCTTGTTCTCAAGCTCAGCAGAACAACGTTGTGCGGTCCCCCTCCACAAGGGAACAAAATTTAATTAAGAAGAACTATACATTTGTAAGCCAGATAAAGTGATTTAGGTGTATATTGTTGCACTGCGACAATCGATCTCTGGAAAAAAAAACCATATAAAACACGGAAAATTGTTCCCCTACCCAATATTTACTCTTCATAATGAAACTTCCCACACTTTGGACCTGAGCAGAAAATTTTCCACAGTCGTTGTTTCAGGTGCACAATTTACAAATCCACTAAGTTGTGAGCTCATTGAGTACTGAAAATAAGAAGGCAAGG